AGCACATTTTTGTCTTTACTCCAATATGAGAAAGCTATAATTATTTTTAACTTACTGACTGTTGAGAGAAGTCAAATAACTTGTCCAAGGTTGTTTCTCCTAGGAGTACAGGTGACCAGTGTCAGAACCTGGGTCTCCTGAAGTCAAATCTCATCCCCAAGAGCTTCAACCTTTTAAAGAAATAGGGAGTTGGAAGAAAAAGATTTTTGGTATTATCAGTTGTAACTTTGCATTTATTGATAATATCCCATCCTCGATATCCTTGCAGAGGTAAGCAGTATATTACCTCTTGAGGCAGGTTAGTCCATCTTGGATTATTTGCTTTCCTTTATAATGAGTGGAAATTAGTCTCCTCATAATTTCTACCCACGGGTCTCAGTTCACTTTCTGCAGCCACATAGACTAAAGAAATCAGGATCTATGTTCCTTAGACAGCCTTTTATTACTTTCAGATACTCTTCTCTGAGTACAATGTTGCTTTTTTTTTTTTTCTATTATTTTACAAGACATGTTTTCCAGGCCCTTTTTTTGGAAATAACACTCCTCTAGATCTGTTTTATTTCATTAACCACATCTATAAGCGTGGAATCTACAACTGAGAACAGTACTGTAGGTGTGTTGTGTTTGATAAATGAGAACGCAATGCAGCTATCATCTCCTTTGTTCCAATAATGTGCCACTGTGAATAGTCCACAATTCATATTGACTTTTGGGGGTAGACGCTAATGATTCACATTCAGCTTAGAGTCAATTAGAAATTTGGATCATTGAGTTTCTTGTGATAATCTTATAGCAATTGTACCTCTAAACCCATTGACATTGTAATTTATACAAATAATGGTAGTTGATTTCTGATTACAAATTACCTGATTCAAACTCAATACTCTTTCTACTATACTTTTTTTACAGTACTACAGGGGTTTCCCTCAAAAATCATTTATATAATTCCAAGTATTTCTAAGCCAAAATGGCATGAAATATAAAATCCAAACCTAGCTTTTGTCTTATTCTAGGGTATTAAGTAAATTTCTTCCCTGTTCCACAGAGCGATTTGCAATCCTAGATGTAATTCTGAATGTATCACAAGATAGTTTCTAGGTGTTCTTCAATAAAAGATGAAATTCAGACAGGCATCTTAGTATACAGGCACTTGTGTAGTCTTTTTTAAAGTAGGCTTAATTCACTTTAAGTATGTATGTGTGTCTGTGTGTCTGTTTGTATGTATAAAATCATTACATGGTAGCCATATAATCTTTTGTGTCTGGCTTCTTTTCACTCCACATAATGTCTTTTAGATTCATCCAAATTGCTACCTCATGTTTTAATGTCAGTAGGGTTTCAGTTTCTCAATCTATACAATAAAAGGAGTTGGGCTAGATGAACTCTAAAGGACTTTTCAGTTCTGACAATACATGAGACATTCTTTCCACTGATTGACAAAAATTAAAATGCAGGAATTCTGACTTGAATCTGTTGCCATGATACCATAACAATGCCGGGAATGACAGCTTCGACTGTGCAATCCAGTGAGAACACTGACGTTGCATCTAGACTGGAAACAATTTTGCGCACTTGTGTTATGTAAGGACAGAAACTGCATTCTATCTCAGGATGCCCTTGATGACTTCTGAGCCCTCTCATAGCCAGCATTCTTCCTGTGTAAATTACTAAATTGAGTCGCTCATATTACAATTTAAAAATCCATTGGTAAACAGGCTTAAAATAGGACTCTAATGAAAAGCATCCTCCTAATTTTGTTTAGGAATCCATATGTGCGGTATTTGGGTAGTCCATGGTGTTAGAGAAATCCATTTTCAGATCTCAGTGCTTCATTTCTACCTATGTGACATTGGGCAAGTCAATCTTAAACTCTCCAAGTGTGACCTGGAAATGGAGATAATGATAGCTACCTTACAGGGTCGTTATGAAGAACCAAATGAGATAATGCATGCAAAGTGCTCAGAGTGCCTGGAATATGGGTAGTGATCCATCAAGGATAGCTACTACTGCTGTTGCTTCTCCTCAGCAGTCTGTCATCCTGTGCTTCTGGGACTATAATTTCTCACTGAAGTTCCCTTTCTATGCCAGTCCTGTTTGTTCGCTCTTACTGGGACAAAGGTGAATATAAGAAGTAAGTAGTGAATAACCACTGAATTTTTAATCAGTCTCATGCAAAGGGAGACTTACAATAGAGAATGGAGTGGGACAGTTCAATGAGAACAAATAGTGGTATGGGGGAATGGGAAACAAGTTCTAACAACTTCTTTAGTCATAAAATATTTCATTTTCTGACGATGGCACTAAATCTCTTTGGAATGAACAAAAAAGATTAGTGATTCAGAATGTTTTTCATTCAAATCTTGTTCTGCCACTTACTCTCAAATTCTTTAAATTCTCCCCCCAAAAGAATTTCTTCATATGTAAAAGCAATATAACATACAAGTTAAGAAAAGGGCTAGGGTCAGAAAAATTGGGTTTGAGTTCCAACGTTGCCATTAGCAATATCTGTAAAATATCAAACAAGTTAATTAATTTCTCTGTTTCTTAGCTTTCTGATCTGTAAAATGGTTTGTTAGTTGTTTTGGAGATTGGCTAACATCAGAACATTTTTAATAGTCCCTGACACAGAATAATCAGTTTACAGATGTTAGCTCTTATTCCCAAACAGGCATAATGATATCTACCTCTTTAGGTTGCTGAGGGTATTTAAATGAGAATAAGGTAGGTTAAATGACATAGGCTTTACTCAGATTCAAGTCTTATTGCTATGTAATCATTATAATTTAGAAAAAGAGAGCTGGGAATATGATGAGAAGACTTGAGGAAAAATAGAAATCATCAGCATCAAATTAATAAAATTACTACTTTTTAAATGGAAGTATAAGAATAAATGAGTAGAAGAAATGATATTTATGATTTATGAGAGCTATGGAAAGGAATGCTCTTATTTTTGCTCTGAAATAGAGAAAACCAAGTGGAAATTCTCAAATCAGACAATAAATAATAATGATAATGATAGTGGTATAACAATAAAAATAATTGTGAAATATATTTGCATTGAGTAAAAGCTGAGAAAGAACCCAGAATTCTTTCTCAGGTGAGGTCCTTGCTTTATGGAGCATATAATCTACTAGGAAAGACAAATAGTAAGTAGGTAAACAGATGAATAACAAGAGGATTCTATATAGTGATTATTCTACAAATAAAATAAAATAAACCATGTCATGAAAATGACTGGAATTGGGGATGCAATACATGGAGAATCTGATTTAGATTTGGTTGTAAAGGAGGATCTGTCTGAGAAAAATATTTAAGTGGAGCCCTCTGTGGGAGTCAGCCACTCAAAAATCTCAAGCAGGAAGAAAAGTTAAGCTGGTATGAGGTTCTAAGGAAGGAATGGCTTGGCATGTGAGAAACAGGAAGAGGGCTGATTATATTTAAAATATAAGAAGTGAGGAGAAGAAACAATAGTAAAAGTTGACACTGGAGATTCATTAGCATCTTGTCAGGTACAGCTGGAAGTTTGGATCGAATCCCACATGTGAAGTTTGATGAAAAACAATTAGAAGCTCTAAGAAAGTGATTTAATTGATCTGACACATATTTTTAAAAGATATTTCAGACTACTGCATAAAAAATGGTTTGGCAGGGGCAGCAGAATAGAGCCAGGAAACTGACGAGGAGGCTAGAGCATCATTCCATATGAGAGGAGGTAGTGGCCTGGTTCAGTTGGTAACAGTGGAGAAATTCAGGGTGTGTTGTAGAGGAAGAATTGAAAGGACTTAGTGAAAGTTAGGTAGAAAAGACTCAGATGAAAATTATAGGTATTCGGCTTGAGAAAATGAATTGAAGCTCGAGACATTTACTACTGTACATTATAGTAACAGAGAGTTAGAATTCAAGGGTTCATAGGCTCAAGTGCAAATAGCTGTCATGAATATTCTATGGTTTATTTTACCGTTTCTCCTTTGGTATAGGTTTAAGTTGTTATTTCTCTTTATATAGAGTTATGTAATCATCAAACTTACACGTTCAGGTTGCTGCATTTGATCTATCATTTTCCTGGTATAAAAAAGTTAAATTACAGATTAAAGATATGCCCATTTAAAATACTTATGGACTCTCTATATTGTTTTTCAGTAAGTCTATACCAGTTCACACTCCCACCACAGCATAGAAACTATGCTGGTTTCCACACACTCTCCCAGCTCTGTCAGTGTTCTTCTGTTTAAGCCTTGTGAATCCATATTGAATTCTATTTCAGGAGATTCTGAGGACCCTCTCTGTCTTTGGCCAGCTAAAGCTAAATGTTTGGGGAGGGATTTGGGAGAGGATTATCAGAGAGAACAAAGAATGAAATAATTATGAATATGAGAAACAATTCTAAGTACTTTGCATATGTGTTAACTTACTTAACTTTAATTATTTAATTATGAGATAGCTACTATTATTACCCAGAATTTATATATGAATTAACTGAGGCAAGGAGCAAGGTAATGTAGTTTGGGTTTATGTAGTTTGTTAGTGGCAGATACAAAGCTAGGAAATTTTCAGAATCCATACTTATAATAATTAAATTCTCTTGACAATCTACAAAACACAAAAGATAACAGCATGAGATTGAATATTTGGTTCAGATCAGTATGCTAGTAGTTAGGGAAAAATAGATGTGTGTTGAATAAGTCAATATTGATTTAGTTAGGACTTGGTTGAAATATTAAAAGAGAGAAACTTTCTCTACTCTTTGCATCTCTGCCCAGCGGCCAGAAAACCATCATCCTCATTATCACTATCACTACCAACTATTGGGCTACTATGTGCCAGGCCCTGAGTTATAAACTCTATAGGTATTATAAGCAATTTTTGTATTATTATCACCTTTTCATAAATGAAAGTAGGTTAAGTGAAATCCATAAGATCCTCTAGGTATGATGTGTCAAAGCCTGAATTCAAGCTCCGTTTGTTTGTGTTTGGCTTTAAAATCCTTACTCTTTCTCTAGTGACAAATGGAGGAAGAAGAAGACATGTCAACGTAGGTAAGCCATAACCAGGTTATGTGGACTTTGAAAAGCAGAGATGAGGAGGACGATCTCGATTCTGAGTCTGGAAGGAATCATTGGAAGAGTTCTGTAGATGGAAGTCACAAGGTAAGATTAAGTTGTTTTTTTTTTTTTCCTAAATTAAGATTTTGTTTTTCTAGAGCAATTTAAGTTCCCAGCAAAATTGAGGGGAATGCATAGAGATTTCTCATATATCCCCTGCAAACATCCACATGCACAGCTTTCCCATTATTAATGTCCTCTAGAGTGGTACATTTATTACAATCAATGAAGATACATTGACTCATCACAATCACCCAACGTCCATAGTTTACATTATGGTTCACTCTTTGTGTTGTACCTTCTATGAGTTTGGACAGTTGTGTAATGACATATATTCATCATTATGGTATCATACAAAGCATAAATCTAAAAAGTCATCACAGTACCCAAAGTCATCTATGTTTTCTCTTATGTTATCTTCTAGGGATTTTATAATTTTCCATTTTCCATTTAGGTCTGTGATCCATTTTGAGTTAATCTTTGTCACTGTGAAGGGTATAAAGCCAGTGTCTAGATTTTTTGTTTTACTTGTGGATGTTGAGTTGGTCCAGCACAATTTATTTAAAACACTATCTTTCGCCTTTACTCCTCTGTCAAAGATCATTTGCCTACATTTATGTGAGTCTATTTCTGGCTATTCTGTTGCATTGATATATTTGTCTCTTCTTTCACCAGTACCCCATTATCCTGATTACTGTAGCTTCCTAGTAAGTCTTGAAGACAGACAGCATCACTCCTCCAACTTCGTTTTACTTCTTCAACATTGTACTGGATATTCTGTGTCACTTGCCTCTTCACATAAGCTTTAGAATCAGTTTGTTGATATCCACAAAATAATACACTGAGATTTTGATTGGGATTGCCTTGGATCTATAGATCATTCATGGTTGTAAACTCATTCAAAGTATTTAAATTTTAAAATCCTGAGAGGACCAAAATAAAAATGTCTATTTCTCAGCAAGTAGTCACCGTCTTCAGATACTCTGTAGGTTATTGTGATAATGGAGTGTGTAAGGCATTGACTCTGCTCTGTTAGATATACAGCTATGAAAACAAACCAAAAAAAGTGACTCATAATTTAATTATTAAAATAATGGCGATCAAGTCAATATGTTTATGCTAGAGGAGGTCAGAGGAGGAAGCTAAGTGGACAGGGAAGTTTCCTTGTAGCAGCTGGAACTCTCCTCCATTTCAATTTAAGGTAGTGGGCAGATTCCCTGATGCTCTGCTCCCATAATAACTCTGCATCAGAAAACTGGCGGAGAAAAATTAAGAATCAGCTAACCCTACCCCGTTTGTTCACAGATGTGAAAACAGGCTCAGAGAGGGCAGTTTTTCTAGAATCTAGCTTTTTTGATGATGTAATAAATAAGTACTCAGTTTATTTATTAATGTATTTATTTATATTTTTGATTAAAAATTATCGTGACAAAGATTAATAAAATCAAATAAGTTTCAAGTATATAATTCAACAGTTTTCCATAGATATAGGCCGCATTGTGTGTTCACCACCCAAAGTCAGTACTCAATATGAAATGTACCTAGCTTTCAGGTAGTTTTATCTCAGCATTTCTTCCCTTTTTTAGTGGCTACTGTTTTCTTGGGAGACGACTGAAAGAGTGAGCTCTTTCATGTTATGTCACTTTATATTCAGGCATTTTGGTTTAAGAGTTAAATTGTCTGCCTCAAATACTTTTTAGAACAAGGTAAGGTGGAAATAAATTAGGAATTGAAGGTAAATAACATGAAGAGTCCTAGATAAAATGATATTCTTTAAATCTAGGGAAATCCTATATGATGAATCGCACTTTACACTTTTCACGTTATAATTCAACCTTGGAGAGTTTGGTGCATATTAAGGACAGTATGATTTAATTCTTTAAAAGAGGGTGGGTAGGATCTGGGATGGAAGAGGAAGAGGCAATCATTTATTAATTACCTTTTATTTGCCAATTATTGGTCTAGGCTTCATTTAACTTTAATTCTCACAATATTCTATCAGGTCAATATCTTTGCTTCTCCTTTCCTATTAGTGGTAAATGGCTAAGGCGGGTTCTAAAGCATGTGTCCTTTCCTCTAAAGTGGTTTGCTTTATACAATTTCCAAATTGGGTGGAATCTTAGTTTTCCTCACCTGCAAAATAGAAATAATACTACCTTTTTCATTTATCTCCCACATTGGAACAAGTAAAACAGCCTCATTATCCAATGGGCTAAAGAATTTTGAAAAATGGGCCAAAGTATTTTGAAAAATACTACACTATTATTTGCTGTTAGAAGTGTGGGGTCACAGTCTGTTATAAGTTTAAATTTGGAAGGCAGCATAATAGCATGGCCTCTACAGTCACATATTTCCAGGTTTGGGGCCAGTCTTTGTACTCTCTAGTTTTGTAATTTGGGGTAAGATTTTGAACCTCAATTTCCGATTTTAAATATCAAAGTATTTTGAAAAATACTACACTATTATTTGCTGTTAGAAGTGTGGGGTCACAGTCTGTTATAAGTTTAAATTTGGAAGGCAGCATAATAGCATGGCCTCTACAGTCACATATTTCCAGGTTTGGGGCCAGTCTTTGTACTCTCTAGTTTTGTAATTTGGGGTAAGATTTTGAACCTCAATTTCCGATTTTAAAATAGAGTTAATAACACCTTGTAGGTTGATAGGTAACATTAAGTCAGATCACAGGCAAAAGACATATTCGTTCTCTAAGTTCCACGAAGAGGTTTTCCCCAAGCTACCTCTAGTAATTGGGATGTATTGTGAGAATAACATGTTGCAATAATAAAGAAAAATCCTAGAGGGAAAAAGTGGTATAGACATACAATGAAATATTATTCAGCCATAGAAAAGAAGGAAATTCTGTCATATGCCACAACATAGACGAACCTTAGGAAATTCTGTCATATGCCACAACCATAGACGAAGACATTATGCTAAATGAAACAAGACAGCCAGAGAAAGACAAATACTGCATGATTTCACTTATATAAGATATCTAAAGTAGTCAAAGTCAAAGAAAGAGAAAGTAGAATGAGAGGGTGCCAGGGCCAGGGGTGGGGGATGAGGAATTATTTTTTAGTGAATGTAAAGTTTCAGTCATGCAAGATGAAAATGTCATGAGATCTGCCATACGTTGTGCTTACGGTTTAAAATATTGCACTGTACACTTAACATCGTTTTTAAAAAGTAAATCTCATGTTACGTAGTTTTTAATCACAATTTTTTAAAATAAGAAAAAGAAGGATCCTAGGGGAATTCCTGAAAGGCTTTGGTTTGAGATCAAAAGCAGCTCAAATAAATAATCCAATAGCAAGACTGAGAATGTGCTTAAGGGACCTACAAAGCTGAGGAACCAGAATTTTATTGTTTAAGGTTTTGATATTTCACTACAATCAGTGCATAGTCATACAGGGAAGACTCAAGTGTGTTGGACTGCTGTACACATTTTAGTTAGTAGTAATTTTATAATTTTGAGTTCCATATTTCATGGAGAGATGTATCAGTACAATCACAATACTTAGAAACCCTGTCTTCCTCTTCAGGAAAAATGGATCTTCCTGCCACCCCTTTCACTAGTTCCGACTCCATTACTTTCCTGGCCTCAGCTACTTTTGGTGTCTTATTTCTTTTTCTATTTGTCACTACGTCGATTCTCCATATTACACTACTCAAATCCCAGCAGGGGTGATTGTTTACCTGAAATAATATCCATTGCCCCTATTATACGGACTTCTTTGTGCAAAGTATCCTCAGTCTATGAATTGACTGCCTTAGGACTGTATGTCCACTTTTGTCCAATTAGTAGTGATGCCTCCTGTCTTCAAAAGAATGACCTAGAACTTCTTTTTCCTCAAAGAAACTGGGTGGGACAATTTCTCACAGACATGTCAGGCATCATGGAAGACAAAATTATTATTATTGTTATTAATTAAAAATAGAAGTCATTTGGTCTGTTCTGTATATGGCGTACATGAGTAATCTGTTCCGAGAGGGTGGTGTAGCTTGCCCAGGTGACTTATAATTAGTACTAAGCTTACGGCCTATGTCACTGGATTTCTACTTCCAATGTTTCTCCTATACAAGTATTATCAGCATGGTAATCAACATCGTTAAGGAAAACTACCATGTGGCAACAATTTTTCTTAGCTCTACCAATCTGTTATTGCATTTGTCATAGCTGATACAACCACTGAATGTTTGGATAGATAGATAGAGATAGATACCGATGTATAGATAGACAGATATCTTTAAAAACCCAAATTTACAGTATTCTTTTTAAACAACTTTGATAATTTTTTATTTTAATTTTTTCAGAATGTTATTTATAAAGTTTGGCACATGTCCAGTAAAATTACTATTCGATTCCATTGACTGTTTCCATTGATTATATTCTCTAGCTTATGAAGGTATATCAGATTACTCTTCAGTTTGGCATGCCAATATTTGTCCATACTTAGCAAATATTTAAAGCAGAATAGTTAACCAAGATACTTATTTTAATAGAATATTAACCAAGTATACAAATTTCCTATAAAGAAAAATTTGGTATTAAAAAATACCAGGCATAAAAAGCCATAAGAAAAAATAGAATGAGACCTCCAAATCCAGGTATTGTGCCCTTTACATTTTGGTCCCAATATCCTTTTCTAATTGTATCTATCATTTTCATTCACCTTTTGTTACAGTCAAACTCTGCAATATCACTTTTCCTCCAAATATACTTCTCCTGAGCCTTATTCACACATCTGTGTGTTCAGATCATTCATCTCTCAAGACCTTTGTCAAATTTAATGCTTCCTATAAATTATTTTCTTAATATTTCAGCTGATAATAACATTTCTCAGTCTAAACTCCTGAGACACCTTATCTTTTGGTGGCAGCTATCATTTTTTATTTCAAAGCAGAGCTATACTGGGCATCTGCCTTATCTGTCCTATTAAAGTATAGATTCTCGAGGGCAAGGCTTGTATCTGATTCATCATCAGTAACTTTCAAGACTTTGAAATTGATGCTCAGTAATGACTCAGTGAATCAATGAATGAATA